AAGAGCGTAAGAGCAGGATATTGTAACAGATCACCAGGATAGTCCTCCAGCCACCAGTGACACAGGGGCTTCCTGTTACCTGAATTTTTCACCTGTGACTGCCTAACAGAATTCTGAATCTTCATAAAGTTTGGGCTTCAAAATTCCTGTATCAGAGTGGCTAAAAGGCTCCACCAATTATCTTTTTTTTTTTTTTTTGAGGTTGAGTGTGAATGGTGTTTTTTTTGTTTGTTTGGTGTTTTTTCTCTTTTGGGGTGTGGGTTTTTTTTTGCTTGCAAGTGCCACAATAATTTTTCCTTAGACACCATTAAGTGGTTCCTTTTCTCTTACAGCTTTTGCTTTCTTGCGCTTACAGAGGATCACTGTTAGGGCAATGGCAAGAGTGATGACTGCAATTGCTATCACTGCTATGATGATGAAGACTTCTGCTCCATATTCTGTAGGGGAGGAAAAAAAATCCAAGATTCAGTTATGAAAAGCCATAATGTCACCACAGTGCTACAAACTCTTAGAACCCACTCCAATGAACTAAAAAATGCTTTCTGTATTTTACAGTATCACAGAAGTGGAGTGACCACCACAGTGTGAACTGAATTCATTTTAACTTGAATTTCTTTCACTGAGGTAAAGCTTTATTTCACCTGGTTCACACTACGTTTTAATCTAGTTTAGTTAGTGCACTAAAATACCATGCTACCACCACAAGGATAAGTCAAACCATTCCCCCTGCCCCTGCATTATTCCTGTGAAACTAAGTCCAAGTGGAAAGTTATTCTAGATTAGAAGCTAGAAACCATCAACAGAAGAGATTTCTATTCCAGTTGTAATTTACTAGAATTCAGCTATTATGATAAACAAAAATATATATCTAGATAGGAAAGTTAAGAGAGCTACTTTGCCAATTTTAGCATTGCTTTTATTAGAGTGCAAATATTCTTATCTTGTGGAGAAGAAAGACACAGTACAGCGATATGATTATTTAATAAATATTGATGACTTTACACTGAATAAAGTGTTATCCAGATTGTTTGCCTGGACTTAGACTGGCTGATTCACTGACCACTCACTCACTTATTTACCAGGAAAGAAGTCCATCTGCCAACCTCTGACCTTGTAATGTAACAGTAAAGAAAGTCTTGGTCTCACTATCTGCTTTTGAGATGATAGCTAAAGCTCAGTTCAGACTCCGAGTGAATGGGTATGTAGGCTTCCAGCACTCCTGATTTCGAGCTAAGCTTTCAAGCACTTACTGTGGGACCTGTTACTGGAAGGATCTGAGGCAAACAATCAGAAAACAAAAAACCAAAGCTGAAGACTAGTGATGAGATCTGAAAATCAGACCACTCTTCAGCTCGGACAATTTAACACTAATAAAAACAGTGTAGCAAAACCCCAAAACCAGTTCCAACTAGCTGAAGATGGTGGACTCTTAGTGTGAGCTCCTCCCATGAGTTTCCATGTTCAGTCTGTGTCCTCTCACTTATTCAGTATGTTGTCTGTTCTATAAGAGGCATCACAATTTAAAGAGGTACCAGAATATACTCAAAATCCATAAAAAATACAAAATAATATACAAAAATATCGAAGTGTCTTTTCTGTTAGAAGACTGTATGGCAAACTTCACCAGGTACCTACCGTCTAAGATACTTCTTCCTACACTGGTACAAAGCACCGTGCTTTCTTGGCCATTGCGGTTTTCTCTGCGGGAGGGAATGATTCCCTGAATGTAGAAGCAATAGTTCTTTGTGCTGTCAACGCTGACTTCAAATTCATGGCTTTTTGTTGTTGCATCTTTCTGTAAAGGAAGAAAATGTTTCAAGAAACTGTTCCCTGTGAAAGCGTTAGCTCTTAAGGTAGCACAGAAGTTGTGTAGTTATACTACAACTACAGAGTATGTAGAAAGTAGAGTTACCTTACCTTTCCAGAACTTTGATCTTTCCAGTAATAGAGTTTGTATTCCAGGTCATGTTGGAAAATATCTCGAATACTTTGAAAGCTTCCATTAGGAAATGTATACGGTGTAAGTGGATCTTGGAACACAACACTGAGTTTGGAACCTTTTTGTGCGTAGGTCTTTATCTCTGGTTTTCCAATAATAGCTAAATAAGCATTTTTAGAATAAAAGAAAAATTGTATAATCTTTACACAACATGCTCTTTTTTCTTCCCTCTTCCACTCCCTTCCCTCCCTTATAACTTTACAGGGCTAAAGTAATACAGTGACATCCTGGATTATTAATAAATATCTTCATCTAGTACACAATGCTAATAAAATGGTCTCCTCACTGCAGCGTGAAACAAATGGTAATTAGACTCTTACACACTCCCCTACTACAGGGAAAGGTTTATGCCTAAATGTCATCTTCTCGGATAACAGTATGGCTACTGTAAGGATCTATCAGGAAAAACTTTAGGCCCAATTTAAAACTTGTTTATATCAATGGAAGTAATCTTGAAAGGCAGATTATGGTAAGATTTAATTGACAATTCTACTTACTCTGACTGTAAGGCGTAAATTTTTCAGAGACTGCAAAGGGTGGTTCTTCAAAGTTATCAGTCCCCGAGGATGTTACAGACAGTATATGTGCTGTGTAGGTCTCTCTTACATTCCTGAGCACATCAGTAACATCACACTCTGTTTCTGCTGTCTGTACGCACTTTTTTTTGGTGTCAGAAGTCTGTCTGAAAAGAGTAAGAAAGAAGTGTCAACACTTCAGCACTTCTCTTGATTTTTAAAGGATAGAAACAGCTCCATTTACTTAAGAAATAATAATGAAACCAGGAAAAAAGTGTTAATTCCCCACCTTAGCTCCTAATAAGAAGGAATGGTAAAGCAGACTAGATATTACTGTTTCAATTGTTTTCCCTGTTTTGCTGGTGAAATAAGGAAAATCGTGTGATCTCAGCTGAAAGAGCAAGAGTGCCAACTGTCTGGAAATTAACACATGAGTTTTCCTCCAAGTAGGTCAAGTTTTATTTAAGAATTGCCTGAAGTCAATTCTCACTTCACCAGATTTCTTATGATGTCATAGATCAGTTAGTGAGAGTGTCCTAGAGATGCCCTGAAACGGTACAGAGGAGGTTTGATCTTTGTTATCAAACACATGTACTCTGAAAATGTACATAAATGAGAAAGCAAACATTTAAGTACACTTCATCCAGAACAGCAACTTGCCTGAAGAATTGTCTCCGTATCAGAACTATATCTGATTCTACACTGAAACTTGGGCAAAGAGACTTCAATCTTTTGCAAGCAAAAGAAAAAAACTCCAGATTCATAAATTTCATAAAATGTATTCTGCTAGTGTGTGCTTTAAAGTCTATTAATTTAATCACTCCCTTGCAGAATAATAGAGCACATTAGACCATTGCACTGGTATTTCATCCATTAGTCATGAGAGAGCTCTCATTTTATGCCACTTTTACAGACAGAAGAGACTACAGTACCACATATTGATTAATATGTAGGAGCGTTGATGATGCAGTTTTCCTTTAGGGAATGTTTAATAATGGTCTACGAATTAATATTCATATCTAAGAACAGCACAGATTTATTACTGAACTTCATGGAAATTTTTGTGCAGTGCTGAAAGAGGAGTTAGACTCAACACATAAGCTGGCTACTTTTTTTGCCCACGGTTATTTCCTAGCTTACATAAAACATGATGACGGAGGAAGTCTCAACAGAGGTAGATGAACAAACGTAATTTTTAGTATTACCCAGAAAGACATAAATTATTTATTTACTGTGATTCACCAATTAGAGTGAAATGCAGACTCATATGTATCAGACACTTCCCAAGACTAAAGACAAAAGACTTAGTCCAGACACCTTGAAAGACATAAAAAGGTAAAGTTCTATCTAATACATGGTATGTCAGATTGTCAACTTCTTCAAAGTATCTTGACCTATATCTCCAGTGCAGCTGGCCTGCACCAAACTCCAGAACTAAAATAGTAATCTAAACCACAACTCTGTTTCTGAAGTGGGCAAAACCAGAAGCCAGAATCAGATACGCTTATAGTTGGATAGAAAGAATTATTAACAGCTGGGTTGGCAATTTTCCTAAACCCTCATGTTTAGGATCTTTTTCTGTTACAATCAGTCTCAGAAATATTCAAACACACTCTTCACATCTTCAGTTGCCCTGAAGGACTTGGGGTACTGGTGGATGAAAAGCTGGACATGAGCCAGCAGTGTGTGCTGGCAGCCCAGAAAGCCAACCGTATCCTGGGCTGTATCCAGAGAAATGTGGCCAGCAGGTTGAGGGAGGGGATTCTCCTCCTCTACTCTGCTCTCGCAACACCCCACCTGGACTACTGTGTCCAGCTCTGGGGCCCTCAACATCAGAAGGATACAGACCGGTTGGAGCGAGTCCAGAGGAGGCCATGAAGATGCTCAGAGGGCTGGAGCACCTCTGCTATGGGGACAGGCTGAGAGAGTTGGGCTTGTTCAGCCTGGAGAAGAGAAGGCTCCAGGGAGACCTTATTGCACCTTCCAGTGCCTGAAGGGGCCTAAAAGAAAGCTGAGGGGGACTTTTTACAAGGGCCTGTAGTGACAGGGGGAGGGGGAACAGGTTTAAATTGAAAGCGGGGAGATTGATATCATGAAGAAGTTCTTCCCGGAGAGGGGGGGGAGGCACTGGGACAGGTTGCCCAGAGAAGCTGTGGATGCCCCATCCCTAGAAGTGTTCAAGGCCAGGCTGGATGAGGCGTTGAGCAACCTGGTCTAGTGGAAGGGGTCCCTGCCCATGGCAGAGGGGTTGGAACTAGATGGTCTTTAAGGTCCCTTCCAACCCAAACCATTCTATAAGTCTATGATTAATGGGCACACCTTGGTGTTATCTACTTACCTCTGTATTTCGACTGTATAGAAATAACCTGATGGTTTTGGCTGCCACTGTAGTATAGTTTTAAAATTGATTGAAGACCAAGTTATATTAACTGCTGTTGGTAGTTCTGGATTGCCTTTAAATAAAGAAAAGAGCGCCATCAGTCATCTTATATGTGATTCCTGGCTCCCCGCAGTCCCTGTTTAGTTAAATGAAGCAGTTGCTGTTAATTGCTACTCGGAAAAGTTATTTTAGGGAAAAAGTCTCCATCCTGCCCCCTGGGCCCGCTCATCTTACTAAAGGAATGTGTCCCACCAGAAGCGAGAAACTCAAGAAGAAAATTATTTTCCTGCTTATAACTCCTCGGTTGGTGAGGTAACTTATCTGAGGTTCTGTCTAGTGCTTCCTTTTCGATCCAAGACTTTTGAAGAAGCTACAAAACCTTGAAGATTCTCACGAGAATGTCCAAGCACCAAATGTGGTGTAGTTCAGAATCATCCCCGGCTCTATCTGCTGCAGAAGGCACTAGCTGCTAGTCTTCCCATTCTTTATTTTGGGAAGACAAAGCCTTGGAACCAGCGTGGTTGCCCCACACGCATACATGGGGGAGGGCTGGGTGCACGGGGGGACCGCCAGCCCCCGTCCCGGCCGACGTCACGGCTGCTGCGGGGAACTGCCAGGGAGGAAGCCGGGCTGGAAAACCCCGCACAACCTCTGCAACCTCTGGAAATCAGGCGTTTCACCCGGCGATATCCCAGTTATTTCCTAAATACCAACTTCTCTGCCCCTCCGGCTGGCTCGGAACTGGGGACAAGGGAAGGGAATCCTGCAGCTGGCTCCTTG